TTCGAATTCAAAGCTTCAAAGCTTTTTAATGGCTGTCAATAATGGAGAGTTAAAAACCTTCTGAATTTATTGATTGACAATTTCAATTTGAATATTAATTGTGCAACATGAAAGGAAATTGCTAAGTTAAAACTGTATGGTAAAACGATTAAAATCCATTGATGAATTTCACTATAACTATATGCAACATGAAAGGATAAAAAGTAGAGAACATTAAAGGAAGAAAAATTGGGGAAAGAACAGAGAAGGAGAGATAGGAAGGGATACTCATTTAAAACTAATATATATATATAAGCAAGGACCTAGACAAGGTGATGTGGCACTCTCTATGGACATCAAATGTATTTTTCTTTTTTTCTCAATTTCTTTTGGCTTTTCTCCCATTTTTCTTTTCTATGTGCTATTTAAAAAAAAGTCCAACAGTCACTTCTTAAAATTGTAACGGTTAGCACATTGAAACTGAAACGTCACACCTTTAATACTATTAACTACATATAATCCTCTCTTCCCTAACCGTTTCTACAAGAAATGCTTGCACATTTTATTATCATTTTCGTATTTATGGGGATGATGCACAATTCTTCCTTTATTTTGGGTGCTTAGTGAAAATTTTGAAATAGAAATATATATGTCTCTCTGCCATGAAGAAAAGACGAACCATACTGTGAGGATGCAGATCTTCGGTTGATCCGTTTGCATGAGAATAAACTTTTATTGATTGAATAATAGAAGAACAACAAAGAGACATTCAGCACAATTTCATGTTGATGACAAAGCCAAGGCAAATACACATGCTTCAAAAAAGAATGGTCAGGCAATTACTAAAAGCAATCGATGGGAAAGTTTGCACATCAGACTACTTTGGTTTATTCCTAGGTTTACTTGAAGATTAAAAGTTACAATTAAAAAATTTATTTTCGTGAAGGTTCCATAGTTTATCGGAAGTTTGTTTCCAATAAGTCGCGGCTACTAAAGCAGTCGGTTGGATTTGATTAAGATCACTTTGGTCCCATGCTTTGTTAGGCATGGATCGATCCACTGTTTCTACTATTTCTTTTTTCTTATCTATTTTTCAATTTAATTCACTCCATGCGATCAGTATTTAACCATTCTTAATAGAAGATTGTTATTTTCGAGTTTCTGAACGGGACAGGCATTGCATCTTGCTCCAGCGAATATTGTTGATATGGACAAAAAACTGGAAGTGGTGTATTGTATGTGAAAATATGAACTGTGTCTCTCCTTTGTGGGTAATCTCAAATTTTATTTATTTCTAGCTGTTTGATGCTATTTATTTCTTTATCTATATTATTTTTCACTCTTTTTTTTCATTGAGTAAACCACCGGACGCTTCCGCTTCTAGATTGGCATAAGATATTTAATCATTCAGCTAAACAGAATCAAAATTTTGAAATTATATTGCTGATAGAAGTTAGAGGAATACCATTAGGAGCATTCGAGTCTCTTGAAGAAAGTTGTCTTATGTAACGACCCGATCGATCGTTTTGAGAATAATAGCCCCAATTTTCTAATTACATCTTTTTCCCGTATCTTTTTCTGCTTATGTGACTTGCCGGGAGGTTTTGTTCGTAGTTTCGGCGTGTTTTGGGACACTTAGTCCCTAGAACGGAAGTTTAAGTCTCAAGATTTTGACTGTAGTTGGAACTGTGTGAAGACGACTTCGGAATGGAGTTTCGTCGGTTCCGTTAGCTCCGTTGGATAATTTTGGACTTAGGAGCATGTCCGGAAGCGATTATGGGCCTGCCCAGCCGGGATCGCAGAAGCGGTCAGAGTCTCGCAGAAGCAGACTCGCAGGAGCGGTGAAAGGAACTCAGAAGCGGGCGCGCAGGTGCGGCCACCTCATCGCAAAAGCGAACCCAGCCCTCTTAAGTCATTTCCGCACTTGCGATGGAATTTCTGCAGGTGTGGCATCGCAAGTGCGACTAGAGATCTGCAGGTGCGAGATTGCTGGGCAGAAAAGGAAAAATTTTGAGGGTTTGATCTCATTATTATTTTGGGTCTTTGAGAGGTCGGATTAAGGCGATAATTCAAGGATTTTTCAGAGAGAACTTTGGGATAATGATTCTTAACTTGTTTATGGTTATATTCCACTAATCTATAATTGATTTCATCATTTAATTAAGAGATTTGGTTGAGAAATTTGGGGAAAATGGGAGAAGTTCTTTAAATAAGTTTTTGAGTTTTGATTGGGATTTTGATATCGGATTTGGATAATTTTGGTACGAATGAACTCGTGAGTGAATGGATGTTCATATTTTGTGACTTTTACCCGATTTCGATGGGCCCGGGTCGATTTTTAGGACGATTTTTGAGATTCTTGTTAAAGTCTTGATTTCGTTAATTAGATTAGTCTATTATAGTTGTATTTATGATATGTAATTGTTTTTGGCTATATTTGGGTCATTCGGAGTCGGATAATCGAGGAAAGGGCATTCTTACTATTAGTTGAGAGTGCTTGCTGCTGTACAGAGACTTCAAGGTACATCTGCCGCGTCCGCAGACCTCGGAGTCCCCCTCTATTCTCTCCTATGTCATTTACCTTCCGTATTTCTTTTATTAGACTCTGGTGTATAGAGATTCATTCTGTAGCTTGTGACTTATGATGTTTCGGATTTTGAAAATATTGTGTATTACTAGAGTGTTGGTTATTGTACATTCTGAACGGCATTGTTACCAGTTAGTTAGTTATCTGTTGCAGTTAGTTGTTAAGTTTTACTTCCATTTTGTCATTTTTGCATTGTATTAGGCTTGTCTAGTCATAGAGACTAGGTGCCGTCACGACGTCTTACTGCGAAAAATTGGATCGTGACATCTTAGAACTTAGAAGTGGTTGAAATTCAATTATTTTTCTCCTATGCTGGATGATTAGAACTTGAATTGGAATTTGCTTTGAATAAACCAAAAGGTCTCCTCTTTCTTCCGCTTCCTTCGATTATCATTTTGTTTTCTACAAAATCTCACTTGTGATCTTAAATATATCCTTGCCTCTTGATTGAATTATGTGCATATATTATCATGCATGGGAATATGTTGTCATTTAATCAAGTTAAGATTCATTTTTTTTTAATTTTTATTTTATTTTATTTTATTTTGGGCAGTGGAAGGAATGTATATCAAGCGCCTAATTAAAAGCATGAATGATATCTTGGAAAGTTCTTGGTTGTTTTTTGCCTAATTGTTTGTCTTATCTAATAATTATATGCTCCAAAATAATAAAAGGGAATAGGTCTATTGGCTTTTTACAATTTTGAAATTAAGAAAATATTTTTTTAATCTCTTATGTGTAAAAGATACATCTCTTACGTGTAAAATCAAATCTCCCATGTGCAAAAAAAGAAAAAAAAAATGAGGTCATAAAACTAAAAATAAGTTTGTAATAGACCACAAAATCATTTGACCCCAAAATAATTGATGGCAAAAAGGAAGGAAAAAGGTTATGTCCAAGATTCATTAGGAAGTCACAAAAGTTAGAAAATGAATGTTACTCCTAACATATCCATTTGCTTCCTTTTTTCTTTGTATTTCCTGGGTAGTTACTGCTATGTAACTAATAGATTGTCAAACAATATAGATGCTGAAAGAAAATTGTCTCATTGAATAGAAAATAGACAATCTTTGCTTTTATTATAATTATTTCTCGTGCATTTGCATATGAGAAGGTTTGATTTTTGAAAAATAATTTCAGTAATTATATTTAGTCCAGACATAATTGATTGGTAGATTAAAAAGTAAAACTTAATTTTGTTTGATTTAGGGCCCGACAATTAGAAAATGAACTAAATTGTGTTCAATCATTTTTACCCGGATATACTTATTTTTAGTTATTTTGAGTTGAACTCATATTTTAAAACCATGTTTAGAATGTGTTGAAATGCTTGGATTTCTTAGAGACGGATAACCTTAGATGAATTATATGTTATACTTGGTACTTAATATTGTCATATTCATGCTTTCTTATTGTATTAGGTAAAAGTTTGATTTGTTAAAGGTGAACATAATTTATCTAGCCGATTTAGTGAATTAGTGATGATTGTGAACGATTATAAGTGTTGGAATTGACTGAAAATAATGCCCGCGATAACGAGAAGAACATAATTATTTCAAAACATCTACTCTTAGCTGTGAGGGATAATAAGGAACTGGAAAAGCTCGTAACGATCACATTGTAACCAGTGGCGGAGCCAGAATTTTCATTAAGGGGTGTCAAAATATAAAGAAATAAACTCATCAAGAAGTCAAGAGGTGTCATTATATAGTATATACATATTTTTTTTAAAAATTATCGAGTTATACAGTGTAATTTTTCGGCGAAGAAGTCAGCGACACCCCTTTGGTGCATGTGGCTCCACCACTGATTGTAGTGTTCTTCAAATATCAACCTGAATTGTTGCCTATAAACACTTATTATTGCTAGCCAAAAACTTTATGTTTCATTTATATAAATTGTTATCTTCTCAATGTATAACTAAAAATAATTTAAATGTCTTTATTTGTACCATAAATAGAAGTTAACACTAATATAAAAAATAATTCAAGTGTATGAATTAGTGTATAGCTTAACATAAATGCATTTTTCTTTATAATAAAAAAGAGTGATAGTGTCTAAACTACTATTTATATTTATTATTGGTATGTTGATATTTTTTTTTTATAGATTTATTGTATTTTTTATGACCGCGCGAAGCACGGATAAGTTTACTAGTTTATATATAATTAATAAATTATATATGACTATGTAATTAAGTTAAAACTTGATTAAAAATGGTAATAAAATTTCATATAGAGTATAAGAAGGTAAAAATCTCATAAAATAAAAGTTCGTCAAACAAATAAAAAAAAAGAAAAAATGGGAAGGGACAACACACATCATTTTCATCTAGCAATGTGGCCCTTTTGGCATATTCCGTATGAGAAGAGATCCGATTCTGTTGGCTCGCCTCTTATCTCTGTTGTTAAAAAGTATTTTTCAACAACTTCCATTTGGCAAACCCAGTCTATAACAACACTCCACAGCAATGACACAATTTCTTGCCAATATGGCAATGCTTTTGATTTTTTCCTTTTAGTATTTGTTAAAACTTAGAAGGAAGACCAATATTAGCTTATTCACAGAATAATCTTTTCTAACACTCTTACTAGTTTTTACGAAATTGTAACAAACAAGGCTAAGCTTTTATTAAAGAAAAGAAATATCTTTATCATAAATGAAATGAGTAAAAGAAACTCGAAATAATTGAAAATTGGGAAGGTATTTAATTACGTAATAAATTGGGAACTAATTACGATGATAATGTTAAACATCTGTTAAACACTCCACTCCCAACATCAAAGAAGCTCTAGCCATGGCTGTAAACTTGAGGAATCACAGCTTATTAATCACTTTCTTGTTCCTTTTTCATTTCTTGCCTTGGCGGCAGATACATGGGTTAAAATCACCACTTAATCCAAAGGATATTCTGCCTTTTTTACCAAGGCAGGTCTCATGGCCTATCCTCAACTCCCTTCACAGTGCTGTGGACTTATTGCCTGCTTTTGTTGGGGCTGCTTCAATCGCAGAAAACAATACACTAGAGTGGAAAGGTGCTTGCTTTTACAAGAATACTGCTTGGTTAGAGCTTCATAATAAGTCTCAAAGTCAATTTGGTGGAGGCACTCTTCATATCAAGGTCTCCCTCTATCTATTTTGCTTCTTCTTTTTCTTCTAGCTATTTTTCAAATTTCACCTTGTTTTCTTGTGTTTTCAGTTGTTTTTATATGTAAGTTCGTGGTCCATCTGTGTATTGGAGAGTTTGGGGATGATGTTTGGCCCAATTTAAATTTTTTATTGTCAGTTGGGTCTGGATTGCGAAAATGTCTTTCCATTGTTTATTATATTTTGAGTTAATATTTAGGTGATCCAGAAAGATTTTGTATAATATTAGACTGGAAAGAGCTTAAATGGAGTGATATTAGTGATATTGCATATAGCCGATCAGAGGCGGACGCACACTAGGGAGAGGGATCCCAGCACCCGAAAACTTCGACAAAAACTCCATATATACTTGCAAATGTCTTCATTATGAGATGAATTTATATTGAATGTTATGGTGTCCCCGACCACTGAATCCTGGGTCGCCTCTGTAGCCGAACCAACTTGCTTGGGATTGAAGCGTAGTTGTGGTTGCATTCTTTGGGTGATCTGTGGATTTAGTTAGCTAATGAGTCCTTGGAACTTCTCGGAAAGTTTCTTTTGTTGTTAAATATCTATATCTATTGATTTGGTTGCCAGATTGACGGACAATTTTACTGGAAGTTAAACTAATCTTTATCCTTTGCTCTACTCCTCTTCATGGGAAGCTCTAAGAATTTACTTTTCTCCAACTAATATTGTTAATTGAACTTACTGCATGCTTGTGGAGTAGAGGTATCTTTTTGGGAAATCCCAGTCTTTGCATTTATTAGATGTTGCTTATATTCACTTGCAACTATCTTGAGCTTGCAGAAGTTGCAAATACAGATGTTGTGGACTGAATGTATTTAACGATTCCGAATGAAAACATTTTGGAAGCAAAGTCTGCATAGATTATTATTAATGATTATTTGTTCTCTGCCTGTGTATATGTGATACATTATTGATCATATAATTGATGGATTGTATTTTGGACTTCCTCTATAGCTCTTTAGTGCATTCTCTTGTAATGCTCAGATGGGAAGAGTTCCCATTTTAATATCAATTCTTGATCTGTTGTTGTGCTTTTTTCTTATATTTGTATTTGTGTTTCTATTACAATATTATTCAGGTCGTTGATAAAAAAATATATTATTCAGGTCAGCAATGCACACAGTTGGACATGTATGGACCTTTACATCTTTGCAACCCCATATCGTGTAACATGGGATTACTACTTTTTGTCTCGTGAACATACCTTTGAAATCAAAGAGTGGAAGTCTGAAGCTGAGTTAGAATATGTGAGTCACCATCCTTTCTTAAATGAAACTAATTGGTCATTGATCTAAAGCATAAATTCATTATAGTCTAATGGATCAGACTTAATTGAAACAGGCCAAATATAAAGGGATCTCAATTTTCCTATTGCAAGCAGGAATGTTAGGAACCCTTTCAGCACTATGGGATTTTCTCCCTTTGTTCACGAATACTGGATGGGGTGAGAACTCAAATATTGGGTTTCTAAAGAAACATATGGGTGCTTCATTTGAAGTACGTCCACAGCCGTGGGTCACAAACCTTACTACTGATGACATTCATTCTGGAGATTTTCTTGCAATATCAAAGATTAAAGGTACCTGGGGTGGTTTTGAGACTATGGAGAAATGGGCAACAGGAGCCTATGCTGGCCATACCGCTGTTTGCTTGAGAGATGCTGAAGGGAAACTATGGGTTGGCGAATCTGGACATGACAATGATCAGGTGGTGTGTTAAAACTATTATTTCATATGATGTTACTCCTTGGTAATTGCTTCTTCTTTCTTGGGAGCAAGGGCAGATGCTCTTACATGCTCACCTCCTGAAACCTCCCCACCTCCAACCAACTCAAGAAAAAAAAAAAGGAAGACGGCATAACTGAAAGATAAGGAGAATGGAGATAATATGTCATCTCTATGCAATATTTGCACCAATTCTGTTCTTTGCGTTTCCTTTCAGGGAGAAGATGTGATTGCTATACTACCATGGGATGAATGGTGGGAATTTGAGCTGACAAAAGACAATACCAATCCACATATTGCATTGCTCCCTTTGCACCCTGACCTCCGGGCCAAGTTTAATGAAACTGCTGCTTGGGAATATGCAAAAAGCATGGCAGGAAAACCTTATGGTTACCATAACTTAATATTTAGCTGGATAGACACAATTGATGGAAATTATCCTTCGCCCTTGGATGCTCATCTGGTAATGCATGTTATCTTCAGATCATCAGTCTTTCCAATCTTTTCTATGCCCTGTTATCTTGAAGGTGGTATCTTCCATACAGTCCTTTACTATCTAATTCCTCTGGTCTGCGAGTATAGCAAATTTCTGCTTTGGCTGTATATTGTTCTTTCAAATACATTAGATAATCCCAAGTCAAAAGCTAACTTAGACCTCATCATATTTTGTTGATCAGCTAAAGCGGTAGTATGCTGGCACATGAAGTGAAATTGATGAAATGCCTTCATTTCAGGCACAGACTAGTTATATCGAAATAATATAGGACTCAGAACTTTTGGTGGGTCTTAAAGCTGCAGGTTTCATTTTTCGAACAGTATCTAGATTTCCATATGGGGTAGCTGCTTTAAATTTTAGTGTGATGTTATTCCCGTTGAGCTTCATTTGACTGCTAAAAATATTATGATGTTTTATACTTCAATGCCACACAAGAGGGGGCGATTTGTGTGGTGTCCAATTTTCGCGTGCACTGATTATAGAAGGACCTGGTTCTTCTATGTGTTTCTTATACTACTGTTGCAAAAATAGTAAATATGTGAAGTAAAGAACACAAGTATTTTTACGTGGAAAACACCCGGCTCAAAAGGTGAAAAAATCACGACCTACTACTGATTAGGATTTTCCCCAACAGTTCACTGAATCACCGAGCCAAAACAACATTTACAAAACTCTTTGTAAACCTAAGGATTACCTCTAATCCCGTTGTGGCAACCAAGCCTCTAACTGTTGCGACAACTTCAAGTTAACTCTAACTTGAATAGTCAGAGTACCTAATACAATTGCCTCTAGATAAAGTTGAAAGGTACAATTTGAAAAGCCCTACTTTAATTGAACTAGAATAAAAGACACACACTTGGAACTGGTTCTTCTATCTGGTTCATGTAGCTTCAGATTCGCACACTTGACTCATACAAGAGTTGCTTGCAAAATGCCTTGCTATTTTGCTCTCAACTCAAGTTTAACTTCAGTGTTTGTGCGTACCTGTAGAATGAGAACATCCTGCAATATATAGAGTTAGTAGAATAGGAAATAACTAGAGTTCTAATGCTATACTCTTCCATGGTGGAAGAGTTCTAGTTATCTTCAACTTCTAATTCCTCCCTTATCTAGGATAGAGTTCTCTTTGAGTAAGGAATCCTTCTCCTTATCATTTATGCAACATTTTCGTTCAGGAGATATCAGATATAACCACTTAAGCTTATCTCCTTCACGTGCATGCCTTGTGCTAGAGTTCTTTTGTCAATCATCAAAACAAATTTCACTTGGGCCAACATATTATGATTCAAGTGTTCCATAGAATTCCGCAAACTATGCATGTTTGCTTGAGCGCTAAATATTTGATAGGTTTAGTGTCTCGTGAGAGCTGGAAATGGAATTTGTTCTGGTTTAACAATATTAAAGTGCCGTATGATCATGAATGAGCTTGAAATTACTCTAGGAAGATATCACATTTATACGTGAAAAACAATTGAAATCAGAAAGTTGAGGGTGAAAGAAGGGTGAGGGACAGAAATAGGAATAACGGCACTGAGAAAAAAGTAGAAATGACAGGCATTTATAGATTAAGGTGGGTCATTTGTGGCACTTGGTTTTTGTGCTGTGGATAGCTGCTACTTTATTTTGCTGCATTTATGAAATTACCATATCTATTGTTGTATGGTGCAGGTTGCTTCTGTCATGACTGTTTTTAACCAACTAAAGCCTGCATATGCTTCTAACTTGTGGAATGAAGCCTTAAACAAACGACTTGGAACTCAGGTAAATTTATGAATTCCTCTTTTTGTTGGGACAAATAGTGGACAAAATACCATTTGAAGCAGCTGCTAGGTATAATATGTGTCTCCACGGAATATCTATTTAAAGCGGAATTACAAAAGGTTGATGTTATAAACTATTATTTGGCCCGACATATAACTTGCTTTGTTAAGTCAGGGTAAACCTCAATCATAGACTTGATTATATTCAATAGCAAATGCTGATGCAGAACCTTAGTCTTCCCAATATACTTGTTGAAGTTGAAAAGCGTGGATCCTCTTTTGCCGAATTGTTGACTATTCCAGAGCAGGATGATTGGGATTATAGTGATGGAAAGTCAGCATCATGTGTTGCTTATATTCTTGAAATGTATAAGGAAGGAGGACTATTTGGTGAACTTGCAAGCTCAATTCAGGTTACGGAGTTCACGGTGAGTTTGTCAGATATATTTTTAAGCTTTCCTGTTTTCGGTTGGTTGCTTGGGTATTTGCCTGGGTAATGTACTTGATGAACCAGAAACTGCCTATTCCTTTGTTCTGTTTAACGTGTCTGTACCTCAAGTCAAATATCTTTTGCTTGTCCATTCCTTTTATCTTCGCATCTTCGTCAATCCATTCCCTAATTCTGGTTATTTCACCAGTTCCAAAGAAGCTGTTATATTTAATTGTTTAGGGTGTACTACCTAGTATATAAACGTCTTTCCTATAATCCAGGATACATTTTCAGTATCTTATTGCCAAAAAGGTATAGCTAGGAACACTTTTAAACCAGCAATATTTCAGTTCTGGGAATAAATTACTTTATCTTCTATTTTGGAACTGCCTATGTTTATACAAAATTGTAGCACCAATATTTGCTCATCAAAGAAATTACAATTCTTGCATTAATACTTGTATTCTGTTGAACCCTTTTGGTTCATTTCGTTGGAAAACACATGGCAGGAAATAATGTATTTTAACTGGTCTTTTATTGTTGGTAAGTGCAGATAAAAGATGCTTATACTCTCAAGTTTTTTGAAAACAATTCAAGCCGGTTGCCAAAGTGGTGCAATGCCGATGACAGTGTGAAGCTTCCTTTCTGTCAAATTCGTGGAAAGTATCGAATGGAATTACCCGGATACAATACTATGGATCCATACCCCCGTATGAACGAAAGATGTCCATCTATGCCTCCGAAATATTACAGACCTCAAGGTTGTTGACAAGATTTTCCATTAGAAGTCAGTATTGTTGAAGACATAACCAAGTAAATACAAGTGTGCTATCTCTAACAGTTTAAGCTTTTAGATGAGATGGTCACACACTTCAACAAGAATGTCGCATAGTATAATTGCCTAGGATGTACAACGTTGCTGTTAGCCCTAGATGTTGCTCTTATTTAAGAGTGTACAAATATTTTTACTTTTCAATGTTGCACAGCCAGAATGTTAGCTTGTCAATTTCCTTGTTTTTATGTAGTTTTATACTGGGACGAGGTCGCGAAAATCAATCCCAAAGAACTTGTACATCCAAAAAAACGTAGGTATTTGAGGTGGGATATTAATTGTTCACTATGCCTTCAAAACTCTAGAGATATGTACTGAACGTTCCATTGTAAAGTTGTCTTAATTTTATGGGAAAAGGTCCAAAATTACCCCTCTACTATGGTATATTATTTACTTCTGCCACCCGTTATACTTTTCGTCCAATATTGCCCCTATCGTTAATCAACTTTTAAAAATTGCCCCTAACCCTAACGGATCTACACCGTGGCAGCTGACCCCCTCAATTTTTTCCATCCATCTCAGCTGCCAAGTCACTCGGCCCCACCAAATTAAAACCCCACAGACCCCATTACACCACTCGTAACCCGTGACCCATTTGCCCACTAAATTAATAAGTTAGACCCATCTAAATTGACAAAGCATTTGGTCTGCATACGTTCGATAGAAACGAGAGAGAAGAGTGTGGAAGGTTCAAAAGAAAATCCTCTATTTTCAGTTTTTAATGCGGTCCAAGGTAAGATTTCCCCCCAAATCTGAACATTTTTGCTATTTTCATATGTTTGTTGTTTATAAATGAAGTAATTTTGTCTTAGGGTTCGCAATTGTTTTCTGTTAAAGTTAGGGTTTTTAGATTGTTCTTCGCCGTTTAGGGATTTCACTGTTATGTGTTCAGATATGTGATTTGTCGTTTAGGGTTTTACTTTGTCTGTGTTTTTATCGTTGTTTGTGTTTGCATGTGACTTTCAACTTTATATCCTAATTTTTTTGTCTATTTCTGTTGGTCAATTAGGGTATATTGGTGGAAATGATGATATCTGGTTTATTGTTACTCTATTTTAAAAGAACTTTCTTTGGTTTAAGGTTTCAAATATGTGTGGTCCCTTTTGTTTTTAAAGAAGGGTCTCATATGGTTGGTATTTAACTGGAAAAAAAAGGATTTGAAGTATTTGTTAATAGCTGAATTATTATTATTTGGTCTCCTGTTTCACCTGCATTTACTTTGAAGATGATGCTCATGTGGGTCTCTTACAGATATGTTTTGTGCTTATTTTATTAAGGTGGGACTCTAAGTTTGATACTTTATTATGTGATCCCCCATATGCATGCTTGTGTCCGTTTCTTTATCATAGTACCTCATTAAATTTTATTTCTTTATTCATCTACCTCTGTACCTTTTCCCTATTCCCTTTATTTATCTCCTCTTTTGTTTTATTTAGGCTTTCCCTTTCATGTTTATTTATTATTTGTGTACCTCTTGTCTTTGTTATTTCTTTATGCATTTACTATGGTCATGTAATAACTTTATTCATGGTTACTATGCAACCTTTTAAAGATGGTGCTAGTTGACTTAGTTTTTCATCATGGTGGGGATTGGACTAGTAAGCCACAACTGCTGTATTCAGAGAAGTATGTGCACATGAAGAAAGGTTATGACTTTGATTTGTTCTCTTATGCTGATTTAGTTGATGAATATGATACCAAGTTTGGGTATATGGGGGTGCAACAACTAATAGTAAAGGGTCCTTCTGGCAGATACTATGAAATAGATGGGGATGTTGGGATTAGAACTTTATTGGACTTTGTTAGTGACCAGTGTAACCAGCAATTTATGTACCTAATATAGTCACTCACTGTGAGTCACACATAGTAGAAGTTGAAGCTGTTACTGACTGTAGTGATAATGAAAGTGAGGAAAATGATTCTGATTCTCCTGAATTAAGTTCTGATGGATTGGAGCAACTTTTTTTTACAAAAGAAGAGGGACATCAATGATAAGTTAACTGACTATAAAGAGTTAGATAGGTCAATGACATTTAAAGATATACCTGAAGCTAGGAAAATGATCAGCATATATTCTCTTGCAAATGGATATGATTTGCAACAACTTAAAAGTGACCCAACAAGGCTTAGGTACATCTGTGTTGGTGACTGCCCTTTTGTTTGTCATATATCTAAAGATTCTTCAGGGGATGGGGTTAAATTCAAGACTTTAGAGCCTGAGCACACATGTGAACCTGCATTTGAGAATCAAAGAGTTGATGCAAATACAATAGTTGCTTGTCACACCCCTTTTATACCCCCCAAAATGATAATGTGTGTTATGGATGGTGGGTTAAAGAGTTTCTCCAATTAAAGTGACAAACTTGAATAGGGATTATTTTATTTACAGAGTCGCCACTTGGAATTGATTTTTTGGGTGTTCCAAATCACCTTTTGTTTGAATCCCTAGTCAAAGGAAGATTTGACTCTTTTATTATTGGTCTGCAAAATAAAGTCCGGGTAAGAAATTATGTTGACCGGAGAGAAGGTGTAAGGCATTCCCCGAGTCCCGTGGTTCTAGCACGGTCGCTTTATTGACTATAACTTGGCTTAAATTAATTTTGGATAAACTCTGATTTATTGGTTTTCATATTTTATCTATCCGCTTTTAATTATTAAAATATGGAATTATCTTTGAAACGAATCACATGTGTGAATCCGTTTTATTTATTGTACCAAAATCATATCACGCGTACGTGTACACAATTAATAGCATTTTATTATATAAGAATATTTTTGGTCAAAGTTGCGCGGACGCGTACCTTGATTTATTTTGGGATCATAGTTATGTCACGCGAACGTATACATAACCACGATAATGGATTAAGGCGTGCCTAAAGCATCCATGATTTTTTTTTCTAAACTACTTTGAGATTGTTGTGAGGTCATGATTTATGGATATTAATTTGCGGGAAAAGATGTATTATATTTGGTCTAAATACATATTAGCGTGTAGTGATTGTTTAAAGAAAGACTGAATGTCAAGCCCACTGCACGTGAAAAAAATGAATTAAGAATTCATTCTGACTAACTTAAAAAATTAAAAATTCAACTACTCTACTCTTATGCCCATATGGAGTGATATATATGAACAATGATAGCTATATATGAACAATAGAGTGATGACAATTATCAGTAGCAAACAATTCTGGAGTCATAAACATCAATTCCACTTTTGCTAATTTCTATGGATACCCACTCTGTAACAGGAATTCTTTCTGACACCAATACATGAGTACTACACTAATCAACAACTATTGAGTCACTGATTTTTTAAACTAGCAAATTATACAAGTTTCATTTCAGCATGTGACATTACTCAAAAATAGGATTCAAGCTAATACAATAAAATTGCTCAATTTCAAGCAACTCAGATTTAACCAACAATCAAATTCCAATTCAAATTAACCGAATTCTATTCATTGTCTGAAATTAGATATACACAAACAAATGCAAGCAATAGCAGTAGATGAACTAAACAACAAACGATTTCATAATCACTGTTCAGAATTAGTTTTGTGAAGAACATACCTATCTGCTCAAGGACTAAACTTAGAAGCAAAGGAGGCCAAATACATGCCGGAAATCAGTAAATTGGAGCTCAGCAGAAGCAGAATCAGCAAAATGCAGCTTCAACTTCCGAATCCGAAATCAAACTCGAACACCCAGAATTTGTAGAAGTAATGCAACGAAAATCGGAAGAGCCTTTGAAATTCTCTTTTCCCTCAATTTTCTTATGTTTTTGAAACCTCTTTTGTCATTTTTAGCTCTCAAAAACCTTTCAAAACTTCAATTTTTTTTTGTTGCTAAGTGCTTTTGGGTATGTGTATTTTCAGAGATATGTGAATCTGTGTGTTTTAGCCGTGAGAATGAAATGAGTAAGAGTAAAATGAGATAGTCAATCAGGAAAGGGGGGTTGCGACTAGGTTTTTTTTCAAAGGGGGAGGGATCCGTGATGTTCTTCTTTTTGAAGAAAGGAATTGGGGATTGCTTTTAATGGGTAGGGAGAGTGGTATGGAGTTTGTGAGTGGGGGACAAGCATGGGGGACAAGAAAAAGTGGAGAGGGGACAAAGTGTGTGGGGACAAGCATGAGGGCAAGCATAGGGGACAAGAGAAAGTGGAGTGGGGACAAAGTGTGGGGGGATAAAGAGTGGGGACACGCGTGGGAAGATGAGAGCGAAAAATATTCAAGCACGGTAAAAAATTAGGTGCTCACAGCATGCCTCTCTTTGCTTGGAAACATTAAAAGTTTTCAAGCAAAGATAAAGTGAGCCGTGTGACTAAGTTTTGACCATATCGTTATTCAAAAGAGGAAGAAAATAAAAGAAAAAGGTGCAACCGAGTCCTGGTTTTGGAC